CACAGCAGCTGTACAAGTTTGCACTCCCACCAGCAATGTATTCCCCTTACTCCATATCCTCTCCAGCATAAGCTGTCATCAGAGTTTTTGATCTTGGTCATTCTGACAGGTGTGAGAAGGTATCTCAGAGTGGCTTTGGTTTGCATTTCTCTGATGGCTAAGGATGTGGAGCATTTTCTTGAGTGTCTTTTGGCCATTTGAGATTCCTCTGTTCAGAGTTCTCTGTTTAGATCTATACCCCATTTTTTAATTGGATTATTTGGTCTTTTGATGTCTATTTTCTTGAGTTCTTTGTATATTTTAGAGATCAGCCCTCTGTCAGACGTGGGTTGGTGGATATCTTTTCCCATTCTGTAGGGAGCCATTTTGTCTTGTTGACCATGTCCTTTGTTTTACAGAAGCTTCTCAGTTTCAGGAGGTCCCATTTATTAATTGTTGCTCTCAATGTCTGTGCTACTGGTGTTGTACTTAGGAAGTGATCTCCTGTGTCAATGCGTTCAAGGCTACTTCCCACTTTCTCTTCTATGCATGTGTTTCAGTGTGGTTGGATTTATGTTGAAGTCTTTGATCCATTTGGACTTGAGTCTTTGTGCATGGCAATAGATATGGATCTATTCGCATTCTTCTACATGTCAATATTCAATTATGCAGCACAATTTGTTGAAGATGCTTTCTTTTTTCCATTTTTATAATTTTAGCTTCTTTGCCAAATGTAACTCAAAAATAAAAGATCTAGAGACAGATATTGGGGTTCAAGCTTTAAGCAAAGCAGCCAGCCACTAGCTCTTACCTCTATCTTAGGCTAAAAGGGCTGTCCTATCTCCATGACTCCTCAGAGACAATGCTATCTTTCTGAACCCTCAGGCAAGCTTTAATAAATCATAAATAATATACCACCACAGTCAAAAATCAGGTGTTCATAGGTGTGTGGATTGATATCAGGGCCTTTGATTCACCTGCCTGTTTTTATGCCAATACCAAGCTGTTTTCATTACTGTAGCTCTATAATAGAGTTTGAAGTCAGGGATGGTGATGCCCCCAGATGATCCTTTATTTTACAAAGTGTTTTGGTTATCCTGGGTTTTTTGTTTTTCAATATAAAGTTTAGTATTGCCCTTTCAAGGTCTGTGAAGAATTGTTCTGGGATTTTGATGGGGATTGCATTGAATCTGCAGATTGCTTTTGGTAAGATTGCCGTTTTTTATAATGTTAATCCTACCTATTCAAGAGCATGGGAGATCTTTCCATTTTCTGGTATCATATCTCCATTAATTTCTTTTTTTAAAGACTTGAAGTTCTTGTCATACAGGTCTTTCACTGGCTTAGTTAGAGTTACCCCAAGATATCTTATGTTGTTTGTGGCTACTGTAAAGGGTGATGTTTCACTGATTTCTTTCTCATCCCATTTATCTTCTATATATAGGAAGGCTACTAATTTTTCTTTTTTAGTTAATCTTGTAACCTGCTATATCACTGAAGGTGTTTATCAGTTGCAGCAGTTCCCTGGTAGAATTTTTGGAGTCACATATGTATGCTATCATATCATCATGGTATGTAATATGACTTCAGAAAACTTGCCAGCTCTGATAAGTAAAATGAGCATTTAATAGTTTAGTGCCATGCTTTGGTCACTGGTGGCCTTTAATCATTTCATGACTATTTAGCATTTGACTTGGTTTTTCCTAAACTGCCTCTTCATGTCGTTTGTTTATTCTTCTGTTGATAGATCTCTGTTTCATTTTTGTGAGGGATAAGTAAATTTCCCAGCCAAATATCTGTACCTGCTCTCCTTTTCTCAATGGGACTGTGGTACCAAGCGGGTAAGAACCCAAACTCTTCCTTCTTCCTCTTCCTCAGAGTACTCTCTCCTTAGGCTGAATGGGGATGAGCAGTAGACGTTCTTGATGTCCTGTTGCCTTTAGTTCCCAGCACCCTTCCTCCCCTGGCAGCCAGCGCCTGCATCTCTAGGTAAAGGCTGGCTTGTAGCACCGTGGCCTTATGTCTCCAGGAGCATGCCTTAAGTAAATGCTGTGACCACACAGTCCTGCACTGAGATGGGCGACTGTGGACCTCCCCTGTGGGACTTAGTCGGTCATCCTTCACGGGAGTCTAGTGTAGCTCCCCTTTCTCCCCAAAACTAGGATTTGCCTATGAGAGAGAACATGTCATGCTTGTCTTTCTGGACCTGGATCATCTCACTCAGGATAGATTTCCAGTTTCATCTATTTCCTGGTTTTTTTTTTTAATGACTGGATATAATTTCATTGTGTGCATTGTTAGGTCTCACACTGTAGGCCTCATCTCTGCTCCTACTCCCCACAATTCAGTGGCTCTGGCTTTAGAAAGGGCTGGTTGCTCTGAGAACTTGCTGATCTTGTATGCTTTTGCATCTGCTGCTCCTCTGTCTGGAAGGCTCTTCAGACAAGTATTTGCATAGATTGGTCCTCCGCATTCTATGGCCCCAGCTCAAGTGTCTCAGCAGAGATTGTCTTTGACAACCCAGCCGAAAGGAGCTGTCATCCCTCATTGGTCACTTTCTGGCAGATCAATTCATTTCTGCTCTAGCAACTCAATGTCACTCAGATGATCCCTTTCCTCAGGTGTCACCTCTCTGGGAAAGCCACTGACCTTCATGCTTCTCACTCACCAGTATCTCTAGCCTGTGGGTAGATCTGGTGTAAGCTGGGAGCTCCAGGGGTGGCGGAGTGAGTTAATCCTACAGTGAGTTAATTCTACAGAGAGTTAATCCTACAGTCCTCGAAAGCAGGTCTTTCCTGCAGACTGGAGTGCTCTTCGCCTGAAAGCAGACATCTGAGGTGGGGCTGATCCAAGGCAGTCCCCGAGGAGGAGATACGCGTGCATCTGAGCTATCATGGAAGGTTTTCAAGATAGGTGTGTGAGCAAGGGCGAGTAAGAAACCAAGGAAGGCAACAAGTCCAGGATAGGTCTTGGTCCAAGCCTGACCCCCAGGAGCCTCAAAACAGATCTTGATGCATGCAGGTGCATCCTGGAAACTATTGACACCCGGGGTTTAGGCTCCCAGTACTGGCTGACGCTGCAACCGTAACCAATAGACAGTTATTTGGTGAAGGTGTCCTGACCATATGCCCCACCAGGACCAAACAGCACATCAGCTGAGGAGCAGGCACACAGAGCCAGTGAGGGTGTCTGGGAAAGTGGGTTTTCCTACAGCATCTTTGATGGCAGGACAGGAACACGACTCCACCATAGCATCAGCCCGACAATTCGCCGTCTTCCTTACAAAGCTCTCTGCAGATATTGCCAGAAGCCTGGGGGATGCCGAAACAATTCTAGAAGTGTGTGAGAGAGGCTCTAACGCACCAAGGGTGGAGGGAGGAGGAGCCCCTGGTCTGAGGGACGTCACAGTGCTGTCCTACCAAGCCTCTTCGCAACAACTAAAGCGCAAGCGGCCGTCCCTCCGGGTGGGACTGATTGAGCGGGCAGTGGAAGATGAGCTGAGCTTTTCTAAAGAAAATCTTCAAGCAAGATGGAGTGGAAAGTCATGCCCTCCAAGGTCTGAAGGTGGCAACTGAGGAAATTGAGAGTATCTATTATCATGTGACGGAAAAGCCACAGAAACAGCTAAATGCTCCAATAAAAGGGCACCACGAATTCAATATGGAGCTGATCTTAAAAACGTCACAGGATAGGGTGTGTCACCTACTGGGATGTGACAGTCTCACAGGGTTAAGTTGCACCAGCAGAGTTGGCAAGTATCCATTTGAGTGCACGGCTGTTTTTGTGATCCCTGCTTTACATTGCGGTAATCCATCAGTGTAGTGTCATCATGAAAAAACCCTGATACATTATGATCAAGCCTCGACTGATAGCATGTGAATAACATGAAGGCTGTGCAGCCAGCCTTGCTAATTTATTAGCCTATTTATTTGAAACACATCGAGAGTAAAGCTTTTCTCTGAATGCTAGCTAGATGGCTTTGTGACAAACGCTCTTCAGTGTTCAGGGGGTGGGGATCCTTCACAGGCCGAGCTGGGGTCTGGTGAACTCATTCGGAGAAAGGGAGCAGGTAGCAAGAGTTTGGATGAGGAAATTTTCATCATATGCATTGTACAGTCTGATTTAAAAAATAAAGCAAATGCATTTACTTTCTAATCAGAAGCTCTACAGGAATGTAATTTATAGCCACAAAATTCGGGCTTTCTGTGCATTCCCAGAGCTGTACAACTGTAGCCGTCACCTGTCCTCTCTGTTTAGGACCTCATTTCCCTTCTCCACAGAGAAACCCATTAATAGTGAACTCCATTTCTTCATCCTCAGAGAGTGCCAACAGTGAACATGCCTTCTGCCCCCATGCATTTGCCTGTTCTGACATTTCATATGAATGGAATTGAACAGTACGCGTAGATCATGTCACTTAAGCGTGATGTGATGGAGATTTACTCCTGTGACAGCCCTATCGGTGATCCCTCTGTTCCTGAACACAGAATATTCCCCCTTGAGGATAGTTTTCCCTTGGCCCATCAGCCACAGGATCATTTCAGTGATTTCCACATTTGACTGTAGTGAATTGTCTCGCTCTGAACCTTCGTGCATATTTTTGGGTGGACACATCTTTTCACTTCTCTTTGCTGTGTGAAATAGGTTGTGGGTTCTATACGTTTGAGGAACCGTCTGTTTTCTGCCCTGCTTCCTTTTCCCATGAGCTGTGTGAGGAGTTAAAATTTTCCCAGCTACTCTCACCTCTCTGATCAGTCCAACGTAGGGGCAAAGCGGCTGTCTCTGATGCTGGCCCACATTTCCCGGAAGGCACATGGTCCTGGGCGTTGTTTCACTGTTGACAACTGGAATGCCTTCTTTGGGGTAATGTCTATTTGGGTTCCTTAAGCAGTCACAAATAGAGATTCTTGTCATCTTACTGTTGATTTTTAAGAGTTCATGGTGCTCATCAAACACAAGACTCTCTGATTAAACACCTGATCTGGTGACGCCGCTCTGTGCACTGATGTCTACTCTTGCAGTGGCGTCCTCTGGAGTCAAGTGTGTCTACCCTTTACCCTGGTGCCATTTCTTGCTGCACCACGAAGACAGCTCTGCCCGACCTGTGGCTGTGGACAAGGCCACCCCCATTGCATCTTCCACTTAGGCCTGGCTTCTGCCCCGTGTTACTCTTGGGTATGTATTCCAGAACATTCTTCTGCATATGTACATACAGTTGTCCCTGCGGTTTGAGTGACCATTCTCTTCCCCACTCACACATTTTGGAAACCTTGTCAAAATCACCTGACTGTAAATATGCAAGGCTTGTTTCTGCACACCCCAGCTCTTTAGTGTTCAAGCTCCCTGCCTTGCATGTCTCTGTGTGAGCTTTGAGTTGCTGGAGATTGCACTGTGTCCGACAAGCCACTGGGAGAGGATCCCATTTTAACAATATTGGTGTTTTCAACCCACAGTCATGAGACATCTTCACAGTTCTTGGGGGGGAGTCTTCTTTTGCAGCGTTCTATGGTATTATGTTTATGCTTCTGTGGGATTTAGGCCTAGACGTTGCATCTTTAATTGTTTCATAGTTGTTCTTGTCACAGGTCCAGGTTTGAGTTGTTCTTTGACAATGCCAAGAAATGAGTGAGTTCTGCATCATGCTCATATCCTGCTATTCTGAGCCCAGTTATTTGCTCTAATTCCTTTTTGTGGCTTCCTTAGGATTTCTTTTAGACAATACCATGCATCCTGCAGAGATACAGTTTTATTTCTTTCTCCTCCATAATTATCTGAGGTAGAACTCTAAAATTTTGTCTAATAGAAAGGACTAGATATAGACTTCCCTGGACTGGGAGCATTTGGTCTTTTATAATTAATAAGGATGGAATTTATGGTTCGTTGCAGATTTCCATTGTCAAGTAAGGTATTTCCCTTCATTTGCCAGTTTCCAGAATCCCTTTTATCCTAAAAACTGCATTAGATTTTGCTAAATATGTTTTCTATATTTGATGATATAAATAGCCAAGTGGTCTGCATCCTTTCTGCTCTTAATAGATCGTTACAGGGGATGATTAGGAGATTAAGCTAACCTTGCATTACTAGAATATATTTTCCTTGGCCATTGAATATAATCCTTTTCATATCACTGGATTTGTTTTGCTAATATTTTGTTGATGAATTTTGCATCCATATTCCTAAGGGATAGTGGGGTATCATTTTATTTAAATTTTTCTTCCTTTTCAGATTTTATTAATTACCTAAAGTAATTAGGTTCTTATTAACTCCACAACCTCCTGTTGGCTGCTTTCTGCTTTTGTGGCTTTGTTTTGTTTTTGACTCCATACATGAGCAGGAATATGAGATAGATGTTTGTGAGGAATGGAGGAAGCCCCGAGTCAGTGAAGTCCTGAGAGAATGTGTATTGTTTGACATGGGCATGGCCATGTTAATGACCATAGCCTCAGACCCATGGGAGATGGCAAAACTTTCCCCCAGGGGTAAGATTCAGAGGGATGGCAAGGCCTTTCTCTGGTCTGTGTCTGTGTGTGGCTGTTCCTAACTGTAGTGGTTTGAATAGGAATGGTTCCATAGGTTCATGTGTTTGAGTGCTTGGCACTGTTAGTAGGTATGGCCTTGTTGGAATAGATGTGCCCTCGTTGGAGCAAGTGTGTCACTGTGAAGGTGGGCTTTGAGGTCTCCTATGCTCAAGCTATGTCCAGTTCGCCTGCTTCCTTTGGATCCAGATGAACTCTCATCTCCTTCTCCAGCACCTTGTCTGCCGATGATAATGGTCTAAACCTCTGAACTGTAAACCAGTCCCAATTAAGTCTTATTCTTTATAAGATTTTTCTGGGCAGTGGTGGTGCACACCTTTAAATCCAGTACTCAGGAGGCAGAGGCAGGAGGGTCTCTGAGTTCAAGGCCACCCTGGTCTACAGAGAGACTTTCAGGACATGTTCCAAATCTACATAAGAAACCCTGTCTTGACAAAAAACAAAAAGAAATAAAACAAAAAATCCCCCCTAAACACCATCCTATGTATTTGCCAAGTTGTCTTTATCCGTTCATCTGCTGATGGGTGTCTAGGCTGTGTCCATACCTTGGCTGTGTAGTCCCTGCCACAATAAACATGGCTGTGTAGGTATCTCTCTGATATTCTGTCTTTTATTCCTCCGGGTGTGGCTGGACTTGCAGAGCAGGATTATATAGTAAGTAGTTCTACTTTCAGCTTCTGAATGAACCTTTATTCTGATTTCCATGGTGGCTAGACTAATTTGCATTTCCACAAACAGTGAAAAAGGATTTCTTCTGTCCTGTGTTCTTTCCAGAATTTGAAACAATGTGTTCCTTGGGGAATAGTGTTTTAAACTCCATTAATCCATCCCTTGCTGCAATGTGAGTGAGCAACAGTTTCCTTCCAAAGTTGTTTAAATCAGTAGACACAGTATCAGGTTTCATTATGGATTTTCAAACAAAACCACTGTTTTTGTTGCTTTCCCACCCCACAACTCTTTGTTCCATTGATTCATTGTATTGTTTTGTTTTTGGTCTTCATTTGTTTTAGCTTTGATCTTTATTGTTTCTTTTTTCCTCTAATCTTGTGTTTATTTTTTTTCTTGGTTCCCTGCGACCTTGAGAGATGTAATTAGGCATGTATTTGAGAGCTCTCAGAGTTTTTAACATAGACTCCCATGGTTATTAAGGTCCTCTTTTAGAACTGCCTCTGCTGTAACTCAAAGATTCTGATAGATTGTGTTTCCATTTTCATCTAGATTTTAAATTCCCATCCTCTGATTTCTTCAATTGCCCACTGTTCATTCAAACTTGTTTTAGTTCCTCGTGTACCTGTATTCTCTGTGGTTTCTCTTGACACTGTTTTTTTTCTATTATGATCTGACACAATACATGAAATTAATTCATTTTTGGTATTTGTTAAGACTTGCTTTCTGGCCTAATATGTGATTTACTTTGGCGAGAACTGCTTGGTCTGCAGGGATAAGTGTGTGCCACAGCTGTTGCATGGCCAAACGCCATTTGGTCTGGGTGGAATTTCATTGTGACAGTTTTCTATGGGATTTGTCTGTATGGTCTTTGTTGATGAGAGTGAGATATGTTTGTGACTAGGCTGCTCTGTTGCTTGTGTCCCCTAGTGTTTGTTCTATGAGATTAGGCACAGCAGCATCCAGTACAGGCATGTCTACAGCCCTCTGTCTTCCTGAGAGCTTGTTTGGAGGTTCTAGAAGAGGAGTGCAGCTACTCGTATACCCTTGACCGAAGACTCATCCTTGTCTATTCTGGGAAGGTCATCCTCTTTGACTGAGCACAGCTTCGGGATGGGACATACATGGAGTGGTGAGGGAGGAAGGGGACACCCATCTAGCCAGCCAGAGCAGCCGAATCAACCCTGGTGATCAATGGGGTGACAGATGTCACAGCCAGATCACGCTCACATCTGTCTTCTGTCTTCTTGGTGGGCTGTTTCTTTATGTGTATTTTACCGTCTTCACCACTGCCACTGATGTCAGCTTGGAATTTGCCTTGTGAGACAGGAAAACAGTGTCTGCTGTTCTCCGGTCCTGCTCACTGGGAACACCATTTCCTCCCTCTCTGTCCTCCCGCTTTCAGACTGTGGTGTCTCCACTGCAGAGTTAAGTGTGCTACAGACCGCAAACGCCAGGAGTCCCAGCAGCCAGTCTTGCCTTTGCCCTGGAGACTTGGTCCATTTTCATTTCCTACTTGTAATTGGAAGTGTGTACTAACGTCTGTTAAACTTTTTCTGGTTGCTCAGCATACTGTATTTACTTTAGGAATATCTAGTTAACTGCTCAGCAACATGATTAATTTTGTTTAACCCTTTCCAAGTGGGTTTGCTGTCTCTTCAGACTGCTCAATTGTGCTGTTGTCTGATCCTAATAAAGTTCTTATTTCTGTTGTTATAGTTGTTAATCACAGAATAGTTCTTTTTTCTATTTTTTACAGCATTTTTCCTTTTTAAAATTACATGTAAGACTGCTCTTGTATTTCCCTGAGTATTTTGGTCATTTTATCCATAGAGCTTCAAAGAACCTTACAAGGAGATCTAGTACCCAAGCGTCCTCCAGGGCAGTTTCTATTGGCTTGGCCCCCACCCCTCCCATGCTTCCTTATCTCTCTTCATGCCATTGTGTATGAAGTGCTGCAAGTTGAGCCCTCTCCCCCCAAGCTGCACCACCAGCCTGACTTATAACACTACAAAGTCTCCAGTTGAGTTTATAACAGGCAACTATTTTGGAAATCAGATGTCCCCTCCCCTCCCGGGATTCACCAACATCCATGTTTGTTATTGATTTTGCATCTGCTTGTTTAGTGACTTTCCTGTGGGACCTCTGTTTGCCTGAAGCCTCTGTTTTCGTACCTTGTTGCTAATGACAAGTACAAAGGTAGATATTAATTGTGCAAACAAGTGTTGTTGCTCTTCGTGAACAAGCAGCTATGGTCTAAGGGAGAATATTAAACTATCAGAGTATTGAAACTATGCCTCTCAGTATAACCCAGAGCTGTGGCAAAGTCGGGAAACACGTATGAGGCAAAGATAGGGATTTCTCTGTTTTGTGGCAACTTGCAACAATTTCACAATTTATAATGTCTGCCTTACTCTTCACCTTCTGTTTGTACCGAGCAACGAGGTCTCCCAGAGGTCAGAGATCAATTTGAATATATTCTTCTTAAGTAGTTTTCTGTCCTTTCCCACAGTCTTACAGGTAGGAAGGAAATCCGGGGACTCCTGGGATATATTGTGTCTTTTCGAAAGCCTATGAGCATCTTCCTAGTTCTGAGATTGTCTTTGCATCCTTTGGGCAGCCGTCTCTCTGTATGTGCAGATGCTGCTGACTCAGGCACTGAGACGCCTAATCATTGTCCCTCTTGTTGTCAGCACACACCTTGGGGAACTGGGCTTTTCCTTCCATTGATCACCCTTTGAGTCAGGTCAAATAAAGACTAACAGCACGTTCTACCACACCTGGAAAAATGTTTTTAAAAGAATGATATATGTATACCAGTTGAGTATGTCAGTGTATAGTATGGACGTGAAATACGTTAAGTGGTAATAAATAATGACAGTGCATAGCTAGCAATATAACTAATACATTCCTAAATGTTTATGTTGGCTATTTGAGGAAGAACTGAATTGTGGGTACTTTATTTTAAAAAATAACTGTGTTTTTTATATTATCTCTGTGTTACTTGTCAGTTTATTTTTCCAATTAAAACATGCATGTAAGGCAGTTATTTCTCCGTTAAAGGAAGGTGCATGCCCATACCATATTATGTTCAGAATAGCAGCAGGGGCTCGGTGGCAGAATCCTTGTCCACCATAGTGTATTCCGAATAAATGTGATATACAATTGCTAGGCTATGTAACGTTAAATGGACCCAGACCCCTGCTTGAAAGCAAATCCACCTGCATTGTTCTTTGGAAACCACAGGTCAGACAGAGCAAACAAATGAAGAGATGCCCCTCCAGGCTTCTAGGCTTGTGTGTTGCTGGCTTATTGAGGTGGGTTCCAGAGACTAACACCCATCCCCAGAGCTACTTCTGCTGCTAGACTCTGCATGGGTCTCTGGGAATGTATAATTTCCCCATTGCCTAGCAACAGTTCCATTATTTTCAGGAACTCGTTAAATGAATGAATGCATTTTGATGACAAGACAGCTTTATTCATGCCATGCTCTGGGCCATCGTGTAATAAGAAGAGATAACAAAATGAAATATTGCAGAGATCATGCCCTCAGTCACTTCTTCCCACAAAAATCCTCAGAGGCACTGGTGAAACTTTCTGTACAAACAGATGTGAAAAACTAATAGAAAAAGCATATTGATTCCAAGTAATTATATTGTATGTGCACACATTCACATTTCCTTTTTATCAGCTATTGGATGGCCTTCTGTGCACAAAGTATTAGCAGAAGTGCCCCATGAATAAGAGTCTTTGACAGTTTCAAGATTCCCCCAAAGTCCCTGATTTTCTCTATACACATGCATGCCACAGTTCCCAATTTTCTAACGAGCACGCGCATTTGGGTAGAGAAGAATGCAGAACATGACCTGCAAATGCAGCTCCTACTGCACGAGGCACATGCTGTGCACCTGTGCTCTCTTTAGAGGAAAAGATTCTATGCGGCTGTGGCTTAACCTATCTCTATTTTGACTCTCGGGAAACTTGGAGAAACATTTTGGCACCTGAATTCTAGTAATGGTTTTACTCTGGGGTCCTGAAAGATCGGAATTTCTGTCTAAGAATATTGGAGGAAACACACACAGACACAGACACACAGACACACACACACACAGTACACTTATATGCATACACATGCACACACACACATGCTCACACACACAGAGTGACCCTGGCAGTAGATTTGAGACATTAGATTGTCCTAAGGTACAAGATTATGCCATGCGGATATACAAAATACTGTCATTTACCCCAGGCTGCCCTTTAATACCTGTTCAGCTATGGATAAGCCTGAATTTCGGGCTGTACCACCCTCACCTCCTGAGGGCTGGGAGCACGGGCTCCATCCACACGATGTCATGGATGGAATCCATGGCTTCAGCTTCATGCATGCTGGGCAAGTGCCCTGAGCTACACCACTAGCCCTTAAACACATGTGGCTTAATAGCATGTTTTCCCAAAGCTAAGTACAGACTGAGGAATAAGGCAGTGGAACAGTGGCAGACCAATGCAGTCCTTCATTCCCTCTCCTTCAACCAGGAAGCTCCAAGGATGGCCCAAGGAGGGGCTAGCCTGGGAACAGCACCTTCTACATCTGGTCCATGGCCTTCCAAATGACTACCCCACTCTTCCTGCCCCAAACTTAAGTTCAGGTTAAAACTCTAAATTCATAAATAAAACTCTGTGGGTAGCATGATGCCTCAGTGGTACAGGAGCTTGCTGCCTGAGCCTCATGACCTGGGTTCAATCCTGGGGACCCATATGGTGGAAGGAGAGAACCAACTCCTGGAAGTCCCACCCCACCCCCACCACATACACACAAACAAAGACACTTTGATTGCTATAAAATCAAAATAACTCAGGAATATATAAAGTAAAACTTGTAGTCCCTCTTCAGTGTCCCATGTATAGAATTTTTTTTTACATGTGCAGAGAGTACTACATTTGGTAATTTCAAAGCCACACAAATGAACTTCAGTTAGGTGACACAGCTTAACTCAGCAAAGAATGTCGCCAGCATGGGTTGGTAAGCATCAGAATTTTGGGATATAAAACAAGACAAGGGCTGGATAGACATATCTCCAATGGGCTCATGGGATGCTTGGAAAAAGAAAGCATGGGTCATAAAAGCAACATTAGAACGTTACATTAAGGTGGTACTACATAATTCACAGAACAGGTCATCCATGAGATCTTCCAGAGGGTAGCAGATCTTCTGATGAGCATTGACGGGCATGTAAGGCTTGGAGAAGCAAAGGGAAAAGAAGAAAAGCTAAGAGATCAACTCTCCCCAAAGAATTCTTCTACCTGTGGCTTTCACGAAGACAGACCACTGGATTTCTCTGTGCCTCACTTGTTTTATTTTCTTGATAAAACAGGACAGTAAGAACAGAACCCATTACTCAGCAAAAAGTGAAACAAACCGCTAATGAGCGTAGGACAGTGGCAAGAGCATGGGGGGATCGGGCGCTGCCTGGTTCTGGGCTTCTGCCCTTCCGTGCTTGGCACAGGCTGAGACGCAGCACCACACTTGACTGCGGTACGGCTGCTGGACTGCTGCTCTCTCCGGTGGAAGCAATGGGGCACAGGCCCGGAGAGGTGGCTCCACGGTTAAGAGCACTGGCTGGTTTTCCAGAGAACCCAGGTTCAATTCCCAGCACCCATGTAGCAGCTCGCAACCATCCCAACCACTTCCGGTTCCCCTCTCTTCGGACCTCTGTGGGTACGAGGCACGCATGGCAATACACACACACACACACACACACACACACACACACACACACAGGTGGAATACCCGTATGCTTAGAATGAAATAAACAAATCTTAAATCTCCCAACAGAATATCAGAGCTTTATATGATGCCTACTCCAGCCTTCGCAGCCTGCAGGGCCTGGGTTCCTGTCCTCTCTCGTCTGAGCTGGGATGACCACCTTGAGGGCCGGACCTAATCTCTCCTTTTCCTTCCCCCCGATGATCACCAGCCCTCTCTCAAAGCGTCTCACCTAGCATCTTGGCTGTCTGCTTCTACCTCTGGCAAGCCCTTGTGCAGATGTGCTCATTAAAACGACAAGCCTCACTGTTCCCGTCTTCCAGTTGCTAAAGCGTTCTTGAGTCAAGGATGACTGGAGGTGCTGATGATTGCTCCTAATGAGCGAATCAGAAAAAATCAATCCGTCCCTTCCCGGAGAAAAGGCTCTTGAGTGCGCTCAGCTCTCGTGTGAGCGGGGCCGTGTTCCTTCAGTGAGAAAAACATAGATGATTAAGAGAAACAAGAGTGGGAGTTGGCGGAGTCTCAGACCAGAAAGGATTTGAAGAGGACAGAAGTGAACCCACACGCGGCAGACTGTGCCCGCACAAGCGCAGGTATAAATGGCCTTTTCACCGAGACACATCCCCCTGAATTAAAGGAAACACCCAGCGCTGCCTCTGCTTTTCCCTCCTTTTCTTTGGAAAGCATCCAGGAAATGCCCCGGAGGTAAGTTTGGTTTCACAAGTGATTTGATTTAACAAATGCAAGAGGCCAAGATGAGTCCAAGCCTCTGCGCTTCCCCCACCTGTGTGACGGGCCTCCTGTTGAGGTTCAGCAGGGCGGTATCCACACCTGTTGATGATGGTCCTGTTCTCAATCCCGCTGTGATTGTTTCCGAAGCGCATGCGCACATTTCTTTGGGGCCTGTGCCCACGAACCACCACAGGGTCAGTAGTATGCAGACCTTCAGCTTTTATAAAGAAGGCTGATGGCCGTCTTAGATTACACTCTCGCCCGCAACATAGGACTCAGAGAGGACAGGAGGCTTTCCCATCGCGTCATAACGTGTTTAACTGCCTGGAGTCCGTCCATCTGGAATTGAGTGGAATACCATCCGCCAAGGGTCTGAGTACTACGTTCTTAGACACTGATAGAGCCGAGTCGAGTCCTGGCCTATTGTGTTAATTTAATACCACAATTAACATACCTTGTACCTTGTGCGCCGTAGTGTGGGACTCCAGTGTAAATGGCTACTGTGTTACTGTAACAATGGCTTGTCCTCATAGGCTCCATTAAAAGCCCAGCACTGAGAAGGATCAGGAAACAGAACCCCAGAGTCTCCCGTCTGCATTCGCACGTTTCCCAGGATTGCCAAACCACGGGGACACAGTTCCAGAAAAGGGTAAGAGACAAAGGTCATCTTATAAGCCCAGACGCTGTGTGCCAATGTAGCATCAAACAGACATATGTCAAGAGGTTGTGTCCCTGGTCACCCGGGCAGATCTGTACTCGGTGGTCCTTCACAGCCACAATAGTTGCCCCGAGCCCTCCCCACACCGTCAAGGACCACATGTGCTCAGTTCTGCCGTCCTAGAGGTAGCCAGGTGGCATCCCCCCGAGTCCCCAGACCACAGCTGCATGGCAGTGAGTGACGTCCAGTTGGACCAGAGCTCTGTGCTGCAGCTGGAGGACCGCCATGGCTGGCGGCCAGCAGCATGGAGAAGCCGGAATCACAGAAGCCAGCGTCAGGGTGGAAATTATTGTAAAATGTCCTTCAGTGAGGGAGTGGGAAGGCGGCCAGTGCCCCTGCGTGCCCAGCCCACTTAATCCCCCAGCAGCCCCTCTCCAGCACTCGCTCGCTCGCTCCTGTTGTCTGTTCTCCCCAGCAAGAGGCCTGGCGGGCATTAAAGACTGAATGTTCTAGAAGCAGGGCTTTGATAGATCTCTGCCTGAGAAACCCATTACAGGTGCTCCTGAAGCGGGGGAGGGGTGGCAGGACAGAAGTGAGCCAAGGAGGTGTTGCAACTGTGCCCCTGAATAGAGGTGTGGGCGCAGAGTGAACCCCGGGGTCGGTCTGAGGCACGGGTCCGGCAAGAGCATCTGTTAGCTGACACCACTGTCGACGCGCTCTTCATGATGCCCTTCATCCGGGGAGGCTAACTACACACACCTGCATGCCTGTCAACTCCAAATGGGCTCAGCGGGATCTCCAGTCGGAACCTGACCTTACAGACGTCCAGCCACACCGGACCACCCATGCTTTCCACGCTGCGTACCCCGTGTACACACTCCGCTGATGCTCTCCTTGAGCCGCCTTCCTGTTTCTCTTCCTCACCTTGTCTTGCGTCTTCATCTCTTCCTGCGATGACTGGAGTGAGATGTCTCCTCATAGTTCAGGACATCTGAATACTTGGTTCCCAGTTGGTGGTGCTCTTTGGGTAGGTTTAGGGGGCATGGCCTTGCTGGAGGAAGTGTGTTGCTGGGAGGGGCGGGCTTAGAGATTAAAAGCCTGCTTCTAGTTCCCGATGTGAGCTGTTAGCTCGCTGCTCCAGCAACCCTGTCAGCTGCCTGCTGCCGCAGCTCACATCATACATTCCAGCCCCGTGGAAACCTAAGCCCCCATACACTCTTAAGGTGGTTGCCTTTGTCGTGTGTCTTATCACAGCAACAGAGAAGTAATGAATATACTTCATTATTACAAAGATCACTTGAATTAAGCTTAACCAGTATATAGTCATCATACAAGGTGATGGATATCATGATGTTTTAATTCAAATATATCTTATACTTTGACAATATTCGCCTCCTATTACCCTTTTCTGTCTCCCAGTCAGTCACCATCAGCTTTCTGGATCATTCTTCGTCTCTATGCCCTCCCCTCTCTCTGTGTGTGTGTCTGTTCTTAGTTTCCTATATGAGAGAAAAATATGCATTTGTGTCCCTGATTCTGTCTCATTTTACTTAATATCATGGTCTCTGTTTCCATCTGGTTTCCCACAAATGGTTTAATTTTATTCATTAATATTATCAAAACAATTGTTCCTTCCCACCATTCCTTACTCAAAAATGCTCCCAGTTCCTATGAACTAATATAGAAGTATGTCTGGAATCCAATGTCTTTCATCTTCTCTTATTTCAAAAAAATTTAATTTCCCACAGTTTTACAGTGAGTCCTCTTTTCCTTCAAGCTAGGGAAGTCATCATTCCTATAACGTGTAACAACTCCCACTAAGAGGCGAGCAACTTCGAACCCTGTAGTCCATCAGTGGCAAGCTGGACACGCAGTGACTGCTGTCTTTGTACACAGTTCTCTTCACAGCTTTGTGTAGACACGGAGTGTCCAGAAACCACTGTCTGCTTAGCATGTGAAGTATAATTAGGTTGGAATCTAGCTTTTGCCCTGTGTTTTCCTCGTGTTTGGAGTTATTTGAGATTTGGGCGTGAGCCTGGGTTGGGTGTGTGAACTGTGGAGATGCATGGTTACACTGGAGTTATTAATTGAAGAGTGTGCCTGCCCTGGAGACCACAAGGCAGCCATGTTGATTCTGCTATCCCGAGTTGTCACATAGAAAGCAGTGTTTTATTACAGCAGCAGCAAAGGGCTGGCGCTTCACTATTGCAGAGTTGTGTTACCCACGCCGAGCTTAACTAGTGCATTTGTGTCACACAAAGTCAAGAGTTTCATAATGGCATCATTTTAATTCACACTAGCCGCTATTACCCTCTCCTGGCTTCCAAGCAGTTCCTTTCAGTTTTTGGATTATTCTTCCTCCGTGTGTGTGTGTGTGCACATGCTTGCTAAATGCCATATGTGGCAGACAAATATGTGTTTACATTGGTGTCCTGAGTCTGCCTCTTTTTGCCTGGTACAATGGTTATGGGATTTTAAAGGGGATCGCCACACTTTCCTAAAGAGATTGTCTGTTAAATCAGGAATGGGTTTGCAAATTGGAATAACATTTTTCACCTGAGCAATTTAAGGTTATCCCTATGAAAGAAGTCTGTATCGGGTCAGGTGTAGTGGTGATTACTATAATCCCTGTGTTCAGAGGTAGAGGCTGGGGGCTTGACGAGTTCATATGGTGAGTGCTGGGCCATCCAGAGCCACACAACACTGTCACAAAGAGACAAACAAGCATTTTTAGTGTTTCAGATCCTGCTCTGGACTATTATTTTTTTTTTGTCAGCTTGATACAAGTTAGGGTCATTTGGGAAGAGGGGCCCTCAATTGAGAAACTGCCTCCACCAGGCTGGCCTGTAGGACATTTTTTGATTAATGATCGATGTGGGAGGGCCTGGGCCACTGTGAGCTGTGCCACTCCTGGACAGGTGGTCCTGGGTTCTGTAAGAAGTTGGGGGACCAGCCAGCAGGCAGCGCTTGCCTGTGGTTCCTGCCTCTGCTCCTGCCTGAGTACCTGCCCTGACTTCCCTGTGATGGACAGTGACAGGGGTAAGCCAAACAAACCTTTCCTCTCCCATGCTGCTTTTGGTCATGGCTATGCAACCAAAGAACACACACAGCTCACTAGAGCTGGAGAGCCCTGCCCTGCTGCGGAAAAGAGCTGGGTTTCCACAGTGCTCTGTTGAGGTCATCGTTAGCTCAGCGGACACCCACTAATGCCTTTTGAATATTATAGGAAGTACCTGGAAAACCTGGTCAAAGTTTTTCCAATTTTTTTCCCAGCAGAGTAAAGAGACTGGAAAAGTTTATTCCCACATAATAATATGGGGTAAGCATGGGGCTTGTGGCAGTTGATTTTTCAAGATTTATTTTATTTTATTTTAAGAATATGGGTGTTTTACATGCATGTGTATCTGTGCTACTCATGCATGCAGTACCCATGGAGGCCAGAAGAGGGCCCCAGATGTGGATGCTGGGAACAAGGGAACTCATCCTCTGAAGAGCAGCCAGTGTTCTTAACCGCCTAGGCATCTCAGCAGCCCCAGCCTTTGACTGGCTAGAAACGGATTCTCAGGGTTCGGTCCTGGTAGTTGCCTTTTTTCTGTCTCATTCCCCACAACGGGAATTCGGTTAGATCATACCTACACACTCGAGCTCTCTCGTTAGTGATGGGTGTCTCTTCACCTGGAGCTGAGTGGCTCTGATCTAGTGATAAGTAATGAGTTTCACTCTTGAATGGCTCTGGTCTTCTGTTCCAGGAGTTGATTTTTAAGTGTGTACCTCTACAAGTTGTTTATGTGAAGTGTGATTCGTTTACCTACCGGCTTCTTTTGGATTTAAAGGTTAAACTCTGTTTTTGCTGCATGCATTCTTTTAAATCTATTTATGGTCATGATGTGAAGTTTTATTCAGGAATGCACATTAGGGAGAAAATGAGCTGTTTAAAGAGAAACACAAGTGGATAATGATGTTTTCAGGAGACATGACCTTGTTGTGTCGTGTACCCAAGGCTTTGGAAGACATGACCTTATTGTGTTGTGTGGATGCCCAAGGCTTGGGAAACCAATCTTTAGTTGGGACAACTTCATTGAAGTTAAGGAAGAAGCGTTCTTCCTCTAGGGTGTCCTCATGACCTGTAAACCCCACCAACTTTTCTCTGTACTGGGGTTTAAAAATGTGCTTTTTTTCCTTGTCAGTCTTAACAAGTCCCAGGCTTCATTCTTCCGGCTGATTGAAAGACACCCACCTGGGACATAAACCCAAGTTTGTGCTCGCACACCAAAGCCCAAGGCAGCGCGGTGAACGAAGCTTGCCGCAGGCACAGGCGGGAAGGGCTGCACTAACTGTGGTGGATTTAAAACCAGCTGAACTGGCTGAAATGCCATGGCCCCGTTGTTATCCCGAGTCAGCAATTCTAGACACCAGTGATGAAATACTCCTTTCCAGAAAAGCAAAAGCATGTTAGGCCACATCCTAAGTAACTGCTGCAGGGACTGGCGGGTTTTAGGCTTCAGAGGGACATGCTTTACTGCCATCCTTTAGCATGCATCGGGCTCTGCATGGAATAATTTATAGGGAACCCACAGTTACACGGTCAGTCTCCAGCAGCTCAGCTGTCCAAACGTCACAAGTTCAGGATGCTTTAGAGTTGCTGACTGGCTTATGTGTCCTATCCTATGGGGTTACACCTTTTGTGCTTCAACAGTAGATTTGAAACGATGATCAGTTCAGACTCAAGAATCACAGCTCCTCGGAGTGTTCACTTTAAAATGGTTTAAAACCGTTGAACTGATGTTTAGTGAGGACAGATTTTAGTTCACAGTCATATTCAACTGAATTTGAGTAGCAGTTTAAAATTAAAATGTATTTTCAAAACTTCTTTATCATATAACTAAATGATATATCAAGAAAATAATGATTATTCCCGGTAACTCTTCAGCATGATTTTGTTATATATAGGAGGAATATATTCCAAATGATCAGATACATTAATAGAAAAATCAATGCTATGTACCAGAGAAGGAATGAATTTACCTTATCTAAATTACGGCTCGATTTAATAAACACACTATCAAGCATGCTAGGTGTTCTACTAAAATGGAGGATGAAATGGCTGTCTTCCTCACAGGTGAGGGAGGGCTGGCCTGAGGGGAGGGCTGGCCTGAGGGGAGGGCTGGTGTGCTCCGGGAGCTGGCTGCTGAGAGGCTCATGGCACAAAGGACCAGCGTCCGCTCCCAGTCGGCCTGTGATGAAGACTTCAGGAAGAGGGAGAAAATCACTGTGGTCACCTTGCTGCCTCAGCTGGGCAAGCTGTTGTGGGGGGAGAAAGCACAGATGAGCCTTCTGCTCCTTCCTTCCAAGCTCCCGTCCTCTGGAGAGCCGTCTGTCTGTCCAGCCACAGGAAGGACCCCACTGAGAAGCCTTGCACTCCAGGAATTGTGAGCTCTCTGGGGTGGACGCCACATATTTCCCCTGACCTGACAGTTTTTCCTTCTTTGGATTTGTAGCATCAGATTCTTTAATGGGCTTTATTAATAAACATGGTAACAAAGAACATTGCATTGAATCTGACATCTGTTTTCCACCTGTGGGTGGAATTTACTTTTTAATGGTCTGGAAATCTAAATCCCTTGCTAATTAATTAAATTATGGGTACTGTGGAGTTTGCCTCTCCTTCCTCACCCCCTACAGTCCTATTATTCCCAGGCTAAGGGCCATAACTTGATTTAAAAACTTGAGGCCGATAAATACGTATAATTACTATGTGAAATAAAACAGATTCTCCACAAAAACTTCCACCTTTGCTCCCATGCCCCTGCGGCAACTGATGAAGATGATGAGGCCCTCAGAGGGCCGGAGGCCGACCAGGGCAAGCCTGCCAATCAGGTTTCCTTTCCTCACAGCCCGGCACTTATTCTCATGAATAATGAAATGAGTGCGCTTGGCCAGGTCACAAGCTGCGTTTATTTACAAGTTAGGAGTACAGGCATAGGTGACCAAAACCTTGCACCTTTTTTTTTTCTTTCAGATATTTTCTTAGTCAGTTTTAATTCTTATTTCCATTCAAATCTGTCGCTTGTTTTTATTTATTTTTTATTTCGTTTTGCATTCCAACCACAGTTCTCCCTTCCACCCCTCCTCCAGCCCTCCCTAGCCTCCCAACGGGTAAGGCCTCCCAATGGGGAGTCAATGAAGCCTGGCACATTAACTTGAGGCAGGACCAAGCCCCTCCCTCCTGAGTTAAGGCTGAGCATGGCATTCCACCATAGGGAATGGGCTCCAACAAACTAACTTGTTCACCAGGGATAGATCTTGGTCCTACTGCCTTAAGCACCTCCGATAACCCAGGCTTCACAACTGTCTGCCACATATGGAGGGCCTAGCTTGGTCCCATGGAGTCTCTTTAGCTGTCAATCTAGAGTTCATGAGTTCCCATGAGCTTGGTTTAGCTGTCTCTGTAGATTTCTCCATCATGATCTTACTTCCCTTGCTCGTACGTTCCCTTCTTCCTCTCTTTGACTGGATTTCTGGAGCTTGGCCTGGTGCTTGGTTACAGATCTGTGTATCTGGTTCCATCAATTACTGGATGAAGGCTCTATGATTACAGATGAGAACATGATGGAATGGATGGGCGAGTTGAGGGAGGGACAGAGTGGGAGAGCAATGAAATACATACCTTGACAGAGAGGGCCACTGTGGGGTTAGGGAGAAACGGGGTGCTAGGGAAATTCCCAGGAATCTATAAGGATGACCCCAGCTAAG